AGAGGGAAAGACAGAAACATCGATGTGAGAGAGACACGTGGATTGGTTGCCTCCTGCACGCACCCTGACCAGGGCCCGGGCCAGGGAGGATGCAACCAACCCACACAGCCTTGGCACACGCCCTTGACCAGAATCAAACCCAGAACCCTTTGGTCGGCAGGCCGACGCTCTATCCACTGAGCCAAACCGGCTAGGGCACCTTTAAGTGTTTTAATCATATATGTTATTCTTGATTCTTTTATGGATTTTTGCTCTGACAACTCCCTTGAAACTGTTCTTAGCAATAATTCATCTTCTAATAGCCAAAGTTTATTTTTCTCAACCTATTTTTTGAAATAATTTTTTTTAGTAATGTAATGCTTTCTCTTGGTTTAAAAAGTCAAGAGCAATAAAAAGTTATAACAAAAATATTATCCTCCTATTTTACAATCCACCCCCATCCCACCGCACTTCTTAGGGGCACTCACTTCTAAATAAAGCAAGTACACTGCTGTACTTCGATCTATGAGCTTAATACTCTGACTTTCTATCATGTTACATGTGGATTTTACCTTCGTTACAGACCACTTCCCTTTCTCGGTCTTCCCAATATAGTTTTATCTCAATTTTAGTTACATTCTTGCCCAGCGATTTTTAAAATGATTATTGTGTTACTATTGTTCACTTTTATGCCAAGTTTGCACATGATTACATGACCTTTCATGTACAACTTTTTGTTTTTCCTGAAGTTACTATTTGCCTCCATTTTTCTCAGTTGCTTATTTTTTCTTGAAGAGCTGGTTATGTCTTCTCACATCCCGCCACATCCCTGAAAATGCCTCTTTCAATACCGTCAACTACTTTCTCAGTGCTCTTCCCCGAAGACGTCCCTCTCGGAGGCCTCCTCTGGGAGTCCTTACCTCCCTGCTCCGATTTGGAGTGTGGCTCTCTCAGCTGCATCCTCCTGGAAATTTCCTTGGCCTCTCTCGTGTGGGAGCCCCTGGTTTCTAGATCACTTGACTTAGTTTTTGTTTGTTTGTTTATCTCAATTTTTGTAAATACATGGCCTAGTCACTTCCTGAGAGAAGATAAGTTTCTGAGAACTCTAATGTCTGAGAGTCTCTTCATTTTCTATCCTCACGCTCACTTTGGTGTAGCAGTTTCACTGATGAAGATGGCCACAGTAATCCTTCCTACCCCCTTATTCCCACCACTTTGTAATAGGGCTTTGCCACTTCTCCCATCCAAAGGTAGCCTGTTCCCCGACTCCTTGCCAGCTTTGCGATTTGCTTTGACAAGTAGAATATGTTGGAAGTAGCATGTGTGACTCCTGAAACCAGAAGCCTTACAACATCTGCTCTCCCCTCTCAGAATGTGGACCTGAGGCTGCCACGTGAAGAAGCCAGGTCTAGCCTAGAAAAGTGGTGGGGAAATTATTACTGAAGACCAGGCATGTGGTCCCCTGTGTTATGTAGCAATGGAACAATTGGGGAAACAATTGCCTACAGTAATTTAGAAGATAGAAAATGTATGTGATGAACTTGTGGTCTTGACAAAGGAGACCTCTAAGCAGTGTGTATAGAAAATATCTGTTAGGTGTTTCTAGAAGCATATAATAAGGCATTCTGCTTGCAATGAGATAAATATAGATGGCTTAAACCTTGCTGGGTTGTAAAATAAAAGAATCTCTCATCCCCAGACTGTCCAGCTAGCAAACGACCTTGGTAAAGATCAATTTTTAAACGTGGCTGTAAGACCCTTTGTTAAGGTCTCAGTGAGTGCCTAGCAGATCCTCTCGTTTAGGCAAAAAGGCTTCTGAGAATCTGAGGTGTGTTGTTCCACAGCAGTCTGGCAGGCCCAAATGAAAAAGAATTATGGATGTAGTATTTGGAACATGGAATAAACCCCAACAAGATTCATAGAAAAGCCACAAAGGGTTTGATTTGGTTGTACTGATGAAATAACAGCAAGCTTGGAGCAAAGGGACTGAGATTATTCAAAACACAAAGAGAACTCTGCACTCCAACTTGCAGTGGGTAAGAAGCAGGACTAAGAAAGCCATTCAGCTGTAAGACATAGTAGCTTAAAACAACAACTATTTTCTCTGCTCTCAATTCTGGAGGCCAGCAATTCAGACTGGGCTCAGCTGGGGTCACACATGCAGTTGCAGGCATCTGGAAGCTTGACTGCTGCTGGTTGGACTAAAATAGCCTCGCTCAGCCCTCCTGGCTCAGTGGTTGAGTGTCGACCTATGAACCAGGACATCATGGCTCAATTCCCGGTTGGGGCATATGCCCAGGTTGCAGGCTTGATCCCCAGTGTGGGGCGTGCAGAAGGCAGCCGATCGATGATTCCGATCGATGATCTCTCTCAACATTGATGTTTCTATCTCTCTCTCCCTCTCCCTTCCTCTCTAAAATCAATAAAAATATATAAAAATTTTTAAAGTAGCCTCTGTCCATGTGTAATTATGGGTGCTGGTTGGTCTAGGGCAGGGGTGGGCAAACTTTTTGACTTGAGGGCCACACTGGGTTCTTAAACTGGACCGGAGGGCCGGAACAAAAGCATGGATGGAGTGTTTGTGTGAACTAATATAAATTCAAAGTAAACATGGTCGGCAAACTGCGGCTCGGGGGCCACAAGCGGCTCTTTGGCCCCTTTAGTGTGGCTCTTCCTAAGCCTTAGGAGTACCCTAATTAAGTTAATAACAATGTACCTACCTATATAGTTTAAGTTTAAAAAATTTGGCTCTCAAAAGAAATTTCAATCGTTGTACTGTTGATATTTGGCTCTGTTGACTAATGAGTTTGCCGACCACTCGTCTAGATTCTAGACGAGTCTCAACTGGGATGACTGGGCACTTCAGGTCTCTGTCACATATCTGTTCCATGCCAGTAGGCTACCTCAGGAATGTCCTCATGGAGATGACAGAAACACAAGAAAGAGCAAGGCCTCTCGAGTTGTAGACTTAGAAGCACCATACTTGCACTTCTGCTTCATTCTATTACCCAAAGCCAGGCACATGGTCAAGTCCAGAGACAGAGGCAGAGGACACTTCAAAGTTAAATGCCCAAGGAGGTGGATGCAGAGAGGGTAAAAGATCATTCAACCCATCAGCAAGACCTATCAATTCTACCTTAGAAATACTTTCCACACCTGTCCAATACTCCTTCTATCTTATTGCTACCACCACTTCAGTTCACCATGATCTCTCTTACCTATCACCACCTGACTGCTCTGTCCAAATCTTTCTTGTCCATTCCTTCTCAGACCATTCTCAATGCAGCAACGAGAATAAATTTAAAAAGAAAACCTGCTCTGACCACTCATTTAAATAAGTCTGCCAAATGGTTTCCTATTGTTCTCAGGATAAAGGTGAAAATCCTGACTAAGGCCTGAATTTTTTTCAATTTTCAATTGAGGGGTTATTTTAAAGCAAATAGATGAACCTGGTGAAGGGAGAAAGAGAGTGAAGAGGGAGTGTGGGAAAGAGAGGCTTTGTAATGACTTCCATGTGAGGACAGCCTGGGAGCCCGTTCTCCAACCTCATCTGCTTCCATCCTTTCTTTCACTTTATGGTTGGAACACATCATAATTCCCCAAGTTGTACACTATTTCAAGCCTGTGGGGTCTTACTTGGACTGCTCTGTGTCCAAGTAGAGAAGTAGATTTCTTTATTCCTCCTTTTTGTATGGCCTCAAAACTGTCTGCCTTATCCCCTAAAAAAAGAGAGAGGAGAAAAGCACAGATTGGTTTGGCTCAGTGGATAGAATGTCAGCCTGCAGACTGAAGGGTCACTGGTTCGGTTCCAGGAGAGAGAGAGAGAGAGAGAGAGAGAGAGAGAGAGAGAGAGAGAGAAGAAGAAGAAGAAGAAGAAGAAGAAGAAGAAGAAGAGGAGGAGGAGGAAGAGGAGGAGGAAGAGGCTCTTCCACAAAATACCGACTTTTGCGCATGGGCCACGAAGTTTCAATCGCACTGTACATTCGGTTTGCTGACCACGGGTCTAGGGAGCTTCGGGTGGAATGGCTCATCTCTCCTTGTGGCTTTTCATCCAGTAAGGTAGACCTGGCTTCTTCCCATAGTCAGTCTTAGGGTAGCACTCTGAGAGTCAAGAGCAAAAGCTTCAAGGTCCCTTGAGCCTTGGGCTCAGTTTATGCTGTCACTTTGCCACTTTTGTTTTAGTCAAAGTAAGTCAAGGCCAGACTAGAATTAAGGAGCAAGGAAATAAGTTTTCCTTTCATTGCACTGTTTCTGTAGTCTTTGCGACAGTTTTCTTTTTCTCTTTCAGTTTTGTTCCTTTATAGTAGAGGTTATCCTCAAATTTTCTGTGTCTCTTGGCTGTTCATTTACATTAAATCCTGATGGAAGGGGAAGCGAAGTCACGTTGCAAAGAGGCATGAGTACCCAGATGTGAGCCACTGATGCCGTCGTCTTTGCATTCGAGCAATACACATTATAGACCCTTCTAGGTGGGAAGTTATTTTCACGCAGAATTTGGAGGCATTGCTTCATTGTTGGCACTGAGCAGGTCTGTGGTGTGGTGACTGTTTACTTTGTGTAACTTTTCCCTCTCTCTGCAGGATTTGGAACCTTCTGGTTATTTGCAATACACTGAAATGTCCTGCTGACGTAGCCTGGTGTGAGTTCTTTTTCATTCATCATGTTGACGTTCCACTGGTATTTTTGACCCAGAGATCCTGTTCTTTGACTTGTGGGGATGTCCTGGGATCACATCTTGGATCATTTCCTCTCCACAGTTTTCTCTACTTGCTGGAACTCCTGTTATTTGGATGTTGGACCACTAACCAGATCCTCTAACTTTCTTAACTTTTCCACTCTGTTAAGTTCTTATTATGTTGTTATATTTTCTGAGAAATTTCTTCAACTACATGTTCCTTCTCTTTTACTGAATTTTTAATTTCAGCATTCATGTTTTTCACTTTCAATCGCTTTTTCTTGGTCTCTTACTTGTTAAAAGGCATCTTATTCTTGCTTCCAGCATTTTCCTGATATTATTAATTACATTTTCCTTGAAGTTTTCATTGCATTGCATTGTTTCTGTAGTCTTTGAGATGGTTTTCTTTTCCGCTTTCTTTCAGTTTTATTCCTTTAGAGGTTATCCTCAAATTTTCTGTGGCTCTTGGCTGTTCATTTACATTAAAAGCTGATTGGAAGCTCTAGGGCTGTGGTTGGCAAACCGCGGCTCGCGAGCCACATGCGGCTCTTTGGCCCCTTGAGTGTGGATCTTCCACAAAATACTGACTTCTGCGCATGGGCCACGAAGTTTCAATCGCACTGTACGTGCGCGCCCGCACGTGGTATTTTGTGGAAGATCCACACTCAAGGGGCCAAAGAGCCGCATGTGGCTCGCAAGCAGCGGTTTGCCAAACCGCAGTTTGCTGACCACTGCTCTAGGGTGTAACAGGCACATTGCCTGGTGGGATTCACTGTAAATGAAGCCAGTGGGCAAATGGCTTTTTCCTTGAGCATCTGTAGGTCTTCTCTCAGTGGTAGCTCACTTTACCCAGAAGAGTTCTTACCAGCGTTGCCCTTGGCCAGAGCAAGAGGGCCCTGCCTTCTGCTTCGTTCTATCAGGGCCTTGCTCTGCCCACCCTTCTAAAGGGCAAGGAGTCCATAGGGTCGAGTTCATGCCCACCTGTGACCCACCCTGCTCTCTCTTTAGAGTTTTCTCCAAGCACCTGGGGCCACAGAATGCCCTGCCCAAATGACCTCTATTTCCAAGGCCTACATGTGCCTTCCCTGGATGATCTTCCTAAGAGCAGACCCTGCTGCACCTTCAGGCCTGAGAGGAGGCTAAAGAGTGGCTGTTTTCAGGGGCGTATAGATGGAGTGGAAACAATTAGTTTCCAGCCACAGGTGGAAGATAAAAGACCAGGACAGGTCTTCGTGTGGCTGTTTATTTTAGAAAGTGAACAAAATGTGGTTTATTCAGAAAACTGCAAAAAAGGAAGCAGGAACAGGAAAGGAGAGCAGCAAGAAAACCTGGCAAAAGTGGACTCATTGCAGAAAGAACAAAGCGTAGGGTCAGGGCCTGTCACTTGCACAGACCTCTTCCAAAACCCTTTCTTTTCCCAGGCAAGGAAAATTCCCTTTTTGTACACAATTTTTATTTAGTATTGTTTTCCTTAAAGATGATTTTAAAATTGCATAAGCTTCACAGCCACAAAACATGGATCTGTAGCTGAGACCAGGAACTATATTTTAAGACTTTATATAGAGAAAGAGAGATAATGAGACAGAGATACATACCTGGCAAAACAGCTGATTTGAAGCAGCATAGGTTTTTTGAAAATCCTAAGAAAAAATAGGGGCCCCAGAAAGAATGGTTGATGCAATGTAAGTTGAAAATTAATCTGACCAAGAAGTGACTCAGGAACTAACTTTTAAAGGATACCAACATTGGTAAGACAATTGCTCAGAGTTGGTCTGTTAGGAAAGCCAGGCAAGAGACGTGCCCTAATGCCCGCCACCCTTTCAGATTTGCTGACCAATCTGAACTAGTTTTCAGCCTCTTAAAGTAACAAAAGCTGCACTTACCTAAGGCTGCCACCAGGTGGCAGACGTGGCTTACTCAAGCATGATTTTGCCACACTGCTAAAACTCAAAATGTCTTTTAATTCTCAAGCAATTTTGTGAGGTAAGTGCCGTGGTTTTCATCACTTTTCAGATGAGGCTAAGAGATGCTCAATAACTTGCCCATATAGGATGATGTTTAGTTGGGGATTTGCAAGATGAGATACATACAAGTTAATTTTGTCAGCACAGGACAAGGGAATTGCGAAAAGGCACACTGGAAAGTGTCCTGTCAGCTTTCCTCTGTTTCCAGTTGTGCCCAGAACGCTCCCCAAACTACAAATGCAGGCATCGGAGGAGAGCCATGTCTTAGACACACTCTGTTTCACACCTGCTTGTTAGTCTCTTTCCCCTCTTGTGTCATCTTTCATTTCCATAGCCCTGCATCCTGTTTGGCACATCTTGAACGAAAAGCAAACGCATGGACATCATTCAACAGGAGGAAGGACTCGCTGCCTGCCTTCCCCATCCCACAAGGCTGAGGAGGGGGTGAGGTTGCATCTCTCTGGGGAAAAGTCAGCACCACCACCCTCCTCAAAGGCATCTTGGCATTTCCCTAAAGCGTGCCAAAGAGAACCTCTCCCCAGCTTCAAGGACCATGGAGGGATCACCCAGAAAGACACGTTGATGTTGCCTGTACCTGGGACTGGTAAAACACACACACACACACACACACACACACACACACACACACAATCTGA